AATTTCTCTATTTTTACTTTGTACTTCCTCTTCTGCTTTTAAGGGGCTATGTGAAAGGTCTGGACCCATCAAAATTAATTCTTATAGATTATCAATGCACTTTCAGGTACCTCCTTATTCTCCTAGATATCTCATTTTCTGATAATGCTGGGTATCCTGGCTCTTTATAACCTCTGAATGGTTTGTAGGAAGCAGTGCCTGGACTTGCATGCTCATAAGACTGATTCCCTTTGTGGAACCTTACCAGAGGAGAGCATGATCTTTCCCAGATGTACATGTATACTACACTGCAGAGTCACAGCACAGATTAGTGACTAATAGGAAGAACCCAGGAAAATACCTAGGTACTTAACTAGAAACACCTGGCTCATAGCGAATACTTCAAACCACTATTAAAATGAATAAATAAATAAATAACACATGGAAATAATTTCTAGGACTTGCAATATTAAACAAATAAATAGTCATTCCTGAAGCAAATGTGTGAAATATAAAGGTCATGCTGCTAGACAAATCTTTTTACAATGCTGCGTGTGAAATAGCCTTTCTTGACTTGCTGATTTCTAGTCCTGCAAATGTCCCTTCAAATGCCACTAAAGTGACTGGCCACAACAAATTACCCGGAGCTGAAGAATGAGTCTTGTCCACCCAGCAGCATTTTCAAGTGTTAGACGGCATTGTTCTCAAGGGTTTGGCTGGTAGCTTTTATTTTAATGAGGAGAGATCATTCTGAAAAGATAGTAGGTTCCTTGGATAGTGGACCAAGTCATTTCCCCAGCAACACAGCCAACAAACTCAAAGGTGAACATTCCAGATACTTCCAATAACATCCGTATAGTGGCCTGCTGATATTGGCATTAAGTTTGACTTAATGAAGGAACAGTGAGAGTACTCATACAAATTTTCATTGTATTCTTAAGAATCATCAAGTAGGAAACAGTCTTAAAGAAGTGAAAGTCAGCATTTTCTTGGTATGCACAGCCCTACTTTCAAACTCCAGCTTGGACAAAAAAGAAAGGAAGTCCAAGTTCCCATAAACTTGTGCTCATGGATGAAAGTGTATGGAATCCCCCTAATGTTAGTACCACAAATGCTGATCCCCCTTTCCTGTCAGAGAGTATCCACAGTCTGACAGTCACAGACTTTCTGTTGATGTCTATTCTGAATAGGTCCAGGTCTCCAGTGCATTACATGACCTATGGATTACCTCTGAAGCAGGTCCCCAGGGCATGTCATGATCTATGGGTTACCTCTGGAGGTCCAGCCTTTATTTTTTTAATGTGTATTGGTGTTTTGCCATGGGTGCTGAGTCCCCTGGTTTTGGAGCTGTAGAGAGTTGTAAACTGACATGTGAGTGCTGGGAACTGAACCCAGCTTCTTTAGAAGAGCAGTCAGTGCTCTTAACCACTGAGCCATCTCTCTAGCTCGGTCCATAGATTGACCAGAGAAGAGGCCCACAAGCCTGGCAAAGGTGAGACCTTGGGAAAGTATGGAAAATGCACTACAAAGATATGGAGGAGATGTGTGATCACTTTCTTCATTTCCATTAGTAGGTTACAGCATCCTGGAACTCTGTAGCAAGAGTACCCACTTTCCCTGTGATAGCTATGGAAACAGCACAGTTCTCTTAAGTCTTATCACAGGAGTTTAAGATGCAGCCTGTGTAGACTTCAGTCCCACAATCCCATTGGAGTTCTACCTGGGTTCATGAAATTTTAGAAAAACTAGTGTCTTTATTCATACTGCTGGCAAGATTATCATTACACACCACATCTTCATCTTCATTAAGTTACATGTAAATTGTAAGAATCCTACATTGGTAAACCTTAGGCATTAGTTTTACTTTCTGGTCACTTGATTATGAAAAAGAAAAAAGTCTTAACTGTATTAACACCAGTGTTAACACTGAGTGTGTACTGTGGGGGAAAGTCAGTTTAAAGAAAGCTTTTCCTTAGTGCCCTACTCCCTTTAAGGACTACACTGCCCATAGTAAGTAATCGCTCCCTCTGAGGTGCTCCACACAGCATCTACAGGGCTCCACACACAGCTGCCTTGGAGAACCAGGAGATAACATTTTTTACCTTCTCATTGCACATTTTCTCCTCTGATTTTTGGTAATACAAACCCAAACTGGGACTTGTTAAACTTCAAAAGTATAGACAAAGGCTAGACAAGTGCACATAAAGACATTGATTAAAATAAATTTACATGTTGGAATAGAGAATGTACAGCGTTGGGTAATTTACAGTTTAGTGCTGAGTTTTAGAGAGTTAATGCTCATCAGCAAGAAAATAAGCAAAGAGGATTTCATAAGAAACTCAAAAGACTTATCTGAAGAACTGTAATTTCTAGTGAACAGAGATGAAATGTATCCAAAGGTCCGGATGTTCAATGTTCAATGGGCTCTCGGTTTTAAAAAGAGACTGTCAACACAGCATCTGAGCAAAAGACAAAATGACAATAAATAGCAGTGAATATTCAACTCAAACAGCTAGCTAAACGTAACTCCAAATTTTTATCATTTTCTCTATAAAATAAATTAGTAAAATCAAATTTAAATGATGCAGACAACCAACTTCTCTGTTCCTTTTATTAAAGCAATTCTATAATATATTTATAATACACCATAGTTGGACATCAATTCTATGATGTCATTTCCCACAGAGCTTCCAACTACCTTAATCATAAAAGGTCCATGTTAAGAAAAACACTTCAATCAAGTCAAGGTCCAAGCTATTTATCATTCCAAAGACTAGCAAGTCAAGGTAACCCCCAAATTAAAGGAAACATAGCATTAAATACTCACTTAAATATATTTTTGTATTTAGAAAAATATCTATCTCAAGGTTTCTTGAATTGTAGAGGGTTCCATGATCATTTCATGCACAGTAGAATCAGAGTCGAACACAAACGAACCACAATCTTTTCTTGTTGTGCTATCAGCTGCCTTGATCTAAAGTAAGCATTCACACTTAATTGACTTACTCTTAGAAAGCCCCAGGGCAATGCAGCTCTAAGCCTGTTCATCTCAAGCAACTAAAATTTACAAATAAAATTTTGATTGTCATAAATATGATTATAGAGGCCTGCAACTAGTACGGATTTTTAATTTTTCATAAAATGTAATGGATTGTCTGAATTATATCCCTGTGTTGACAAAACGTGTGTCAAATAAATATACTTACCCTGACAAAGATATGTTGATTGTCTCTACAACTAAAGAAAGCAAGTTGCACACAATGCATGCAAATATCTTTAACCCAATGGGATTTTAGGAAGCAGAGGAGGTTTCTTTCAAATGTTGCTTAATGGCTAAGAGATGCTTGTCTACTGTAAGCACTTGCCTAGTCTTAATATCAATAGGATCCAATATTGACCCTACTTTTTTTCACTGTAAGGGAAAATGACAATATGATCTGATTGAAATCAGCAATTTTCTCATCTATATGAGCCTCTAAGAGGTATCCAATGTATCCTGTCTTCCAGGATGCCTAGGCACACTCATTAAGCTGCTCCCTAAGACACTTCCCATGCCCACGGATTATGTCATTAACTACTGACAGCCACACCTACTCCCTGGCTTTCACAACGTCAACTCCAAAATGTAGGGGGAAAAATTCTGTGATTTTATGGGAGGAAAGGACAAACTATATCCAGTCCTTCTCATTTGTTTCTACTATCTCAGAGTTTGTCAGCTTCTGGATGTGAGGATATTGGTGGTCATTTCATATTGGTTAACATTTTTCTAACAATTTTCTTTAGTGAGGCACAGTACCTGGGGTTACCAAGGGTTCTTGGTTCTGCTTTCAAACAGCACTGTAATTATTTCTACAAAAAAATATATAAAAGAAAACCAGCCCCTTCAACACTGGAACTATTTCATTTTGGGTTGTTTTTTATTCTTGGCAGTATTTTTCTATTTTCAGTTGGAAAAGGACATTATGTTTTCAATAAACTACTGTGATTTCCCAGCCGTTGCTCTCTGAAGGTTCATGCTGAGCTAGACCATTCATTTGGGTCTAAATTCAAAGAGAACATCACATCTGTTATTGAGAAAAGTAGAAAGTACTGCAGTGCTATAGATATATAGTGATTTTTTTTTTAAACATTCAGACTTGTCTTTCAAATAAGCAATGCAACAATTTCAATGGGATATATTTTTTAAAAGCAAGCTTGGATATCAACACTTAAATGGGAACCTTTCTCCATATAAGAGGATGTAACTTTACTTAACAACCTTAAAATTTGATGGAAGGTTTGGGGGAGGGAGGAGGGAGGGGAAGGGGGAAGAGGGGAGAGAGAAAGGTTCTACTTTCTCAGCAACACAGTTCAAGCCTAATTGTTTAGACTCACTTCCAGTGGTCCATTAGTCCTGAAGAAAAAGCTCCTCACACTCAAGAGCAAACAGCCGCTGTGACAATTGTCTGAATGGCACACGTATTTCCCTCCAGCACTTCCACAGATCTCCCTAAAGACCCTAAGTCCCTCTTGTGCCCATCACCCAAAACATCTCCTATATAACCTGAACACTTTCTCTTAGACTTCTGATTGTTTATGTTGCAGTCTTGAGGGGCTGTGAACCCAAAAGACAATGAAAAGTGAGTATCAAAAACTCCAACCTGTCAATCAACACAACCTGAAAAGTGCCTGGTTGGAATTCTATAACTTGGACAGTAGGGGCTGGGCAGCCATAGCTGGCAGTTTCAGCCACAGGCCTTTCTGTGCCAGACTAGTCAGCCTCCAGCGCAGAGCCAATCGTCAGCAGGACCAGCTGTTGCCATGGCTCCTCTGTGTGCAAGGGCCTCATTTATGTCTTGCCTGCCTGCCCCTGGGAGCCAATTGGTGGACTGCTAAAGCGTTGCCATGGCCACGCTGTCTGTTAGGGGCCGCAAATGCTCAGAGCCAAGGAGTCTGAAACCAGGCTGCCTCAGCCTGGAGCTCGTGAAGGACCTGGCTCTGGGCTCCAGATGACACTGAGACTTACCTAGATGAATACCATCATGAACCGAAAGAAGCTGCAGAAGCTGACAGACACCTTAACTAAAAGTTGCAAACACTGTAAGTAAGAACCGAATTCTGGAGGACCCATGACTTCTGGACCAGGTCTGTTACCTAACTTGTGCTTCCGTCCTGCTTCCACCACAAGGGCTTCTTCACAGTAAGCCACAAGAGACACCTGCATGAAAATCCCTTTTTTGGGGTGTCAGCTCCTCATGTAGTGCCAGGATCTTTAGAACACGACCAGATCACGTGCATCCAGTGTGTGCTGCCTGAGCTTCCTCTCATACCGTCGCTAAATTCAAAGACCCTCTTTATTTGCTTTTATGTTATAGAAACATGATGCGATGTCCTGGGAGGCATGTGACTTTAGCTTTAAACAGGTTGACAAGGTCTAGAAAAACATTAGAATCAAGAAGGTAGCAGAGCCGATGTATAGCACCTTCACCTACTTCCTAGCTCTTTCTAGAGGAGAAGAACCTGTAAGGTCTAAGTTCTGGAAGTTTACTAAGAGCTCCATAAGGGAAAACAGTCATCCACTGCTGGGCACCTTTAAGAAAGACACTTGCAGTTCCACAGCAATGTTTTAGGATGAGGTAGTCTATTTGAAAACTGCATTGCTCAGCAAATTAAGATGGTAAGGAATCTGTGTTCAGTTTCAGATGCTCAAATACCAATTGCTAATGGGGTCTAAAGGTGAGGGAGATCCTCCAGGTGAGCAGACACCAGAGCATTGTACTCAGACTGAAAAACAGAGTTGGCCCTTGGGCTAAGAAGCTGTGTGTGGATTTGATTGGGATGAGGGCACTGTTGTCTGGTGTGGGGACTCACAAGTTGTGTGATGATTGAAAAGCTTTTGGTCACGAGGAAAATAGAAAAGGTTCAAATATTCAAATCATCTCAGTTGTATGAAGATGTAGAAGTGAACTTTTAATGGAGCTCTGGGGCCTACTTTCTTTTACATCATTGGTATCTGATATGTGTAAGAAATGATGTTATGGGTGTAGACCCAGAACTGAAATTTGTGACATACTGTCACACTGTGAGCATCTTAAAATTCTCAGAAAAAGGCATCCAACCATTTAAGCTGTTTATTAATTTGATAGTGATTGTGTTCTTTTGCTGTTTTCCTGAAATGCTTTTATCTCTTGGAGAATACCTGATATTTCTAAAATGAGTACAAACATTTCTGATGAATATACAACAGATTAATAACTGGCACATGTAGTGCTCAATTGATTGAGTCTGTTTAATAAGTTCACATTGCTTCACTACCAAACACTGAGAACAATTCAAAAATAAGTGGTTTTCCTTTTGTGTTTTATTTGCATTACTCAGGACTGAAATGCTATGCAAGCAATCTACCACTGAGCTAAAATCTAAACTCTATATAGAGAGTTTAAATTATCAGTAAAAACATGTCTTTAAAAAACTCTTGATTTTTGTTCTTAAGTAAAAATTTTTACATAAGTCCTAGAAATGTTAATGATTATTAGTGAAAAGTAAACTGTCAAACAGCTGCAGCTCATAGACATTGTGATCATTTAAAATGTCTTTAAGTGGCAGATGATGACACAGTGACTGAAATGGATGTGTTGTGTTGAACCAGAGAATAAAGGGTCTTAGGCATGCAACTAGTTAATCCACCTGCTACAGATGAGAACTTCTGAACCCATGTAGGGACCCTGTAACAATGAACGGCCAATCTGGGATGTGTCTTAACTTAATGTAATATGTTGAGAATTCAAGGGGACAGGAAAGTAATACAGGGAGAAAAGATAAATTCTACTAAGAACGTTTGAAAAAGTCAAAGGAGAACATTATTTTATAAATTACTTAAATATTCATTAGCTAACCTGAACAAGCGGGAGCTCATGGACCCCAGACTGATATCTGGGAAACCAGCATAGGACTAGTCCAGACCCCCTGAGTGTGGGTGTTAGTTGGGAGGCCTGGGCAATCTATGGGACCTCTGGCAGTGGATCAGTATTTATCCCTAGTGTATGAATGGGCTTTGGGAGTCCATTCCACATAAAGGGATACTCTCTCATCCTAGACACATGGGGGAGGGCCTAGGCCCTGCTCCAAATGATGACAGACTTTGAAGATTCCCCCATGGAAGGCCTCACCCTCCCTGGGAAGCAGAAAGGGGTTGGGATAGGGGGTTGGTGAGGGGCAGGGGAGGAGGGGAGGGAGAGGGAATTGGGATTGACATGTTAAACAAGCTTGTTTCTAATTTAAATACAAAAGAAAAATATATAAAAATAAAATATTATTGTAATATATGTATACACATATATGCACACATATATATGGAGTTATGGCACATGAAATGAGGGTGTTTCCCCTATCCCAAAGAGCCAGGCACAATCTAACACAAAATTCAGTTCCAGGCAAACCTTCCCTCAAGGTATTGATTAAGGGAATACAAGAGATTTCCAAGACAATTTGGGATGTAGCTTTTGCCATTAATTGCCTTCCAGAACTTAAAAGTGAGACTCTATTGCTGAAGATACCACACACTTGGGCACAGAATTTGGAGAAACTGAGCTGCCACTGACCAGCTAGTCCCTGAGGACTAGTTCTTATAATCTCTTAAAGTGCTGTGTAGACTGCGATGGGAGAGGAGCAATGAGTTGTCCTACCCAGAGTAAACCCTATGAGCGAGGACAAGGACTGGACAAGGGCACTTTTATCTTGGGAACAACCAACAGCTTTTTATTTGAAATTATGGTCCATTAAATAGGAAAGAACTCATGTAAGGTACTGTAAACCTAGCCAGCTAACCTGCAGGATAACCTATAATTGCCACTTTTCTAAACCATCGTAATTTCTAACTGTATTCTAAATAATTATTCTTACAGCCACAGATAAGTGTAGTTCTCGCTCTGCATCAAAGAAGTCTCTTTTTTCAACCAGTGGACACTATTTCAGGATCCACAACTTTTAATAATGCAATGAATTAGTGACTGTGAGCTGCCTAAGCCCAATAGAAACATCTGCAACAAAACACTTGCCCTTAAGGCTCAGGGAAAATCACAGAAGAGGGAGCAGAAAGCTTTTAAGAGCGAGAAGCCTACTATACCTGCTACTAGATAGTATCTAGACATGACCAGGAAAGTGCACCCATAAAATCTCAAAAAATATCATTTTATGAACAAGATCAGCATATGACAACATCAGTCAGCATGTCGACATGTACAGAGGAAATGGGTTCCACTCCTAGGTAAAGAGTTACAGGTGTTCAAAGGCTGCTGAAAGACTGAGAATCAGTTTTATCCAGGGACCAGCTCCTGCAGAGGTTGTCCAATCCCCAAGAGGTCAGTGCTAGACACATGCACATGGCATGCCTCTCTCTCTCTCTCTCTCTCTCTCTCTCTCTCTCTCTCTGTGTGTGTGTGTGTGTGTGTGTGTGTGTGTTATGTGCGTGTGCATATGTGTAAATAATAAAAAAGAAAAAGTGTGTGCATATGTGTAAATAATAAAAAAGAAAAAGTAAATTTGGAAGGGAGTAGAGGTCATGAGGCAAGGGAGGAGTTAATGGGGAAGAGGGTGAGACAGCAGTGATACAGACACAGTGTTCACATATGAAGTAGTCAAAAGGTTTTAAAAATCAGTGAGAAACTTTTTCTTATAGATGACTTTTGATCTCAGTCATAAATTAAGCTAACGCCACTTAAGTGACATTTCTTTTGAGATGGAAACACAGCCCATCAGTATTTGCTGTTCCTCATGAAGTTCTTCCCTAGTCACAAGCAGTTCTTATTTTTTAGAGCTTTGCACAGTCTTTATGTGTTATTTTATATCATTAGATTTAATATTTTAGCTCTTTTATGTGTATGGTTCTTGGCATTAAGTTCAGAAGTCTTCTCTTATCCACGGGGTTTTGAGTGGAGTTCAAGATGCCTGCTCTTTGAGATACTGAGCACTATGTTCTCCATGTTTCTCCTTGTAAATGTATAGCTACTGTATTTTAAGTTATAAATAAAGCACACTTAGATGCTAGGTTAGGTTAGTTACAAACAATAAAATAAAATAGTTACAGCAATACGCTGTAATAAAAGTCACTATTTTTGGATTTCATCCATTATTCTTGCACTATAATAGGTGAAGTGAAGCTTCACACAGGAGGGGACTCTGTACATTCACAGTGTCATGCAATTGTCATGAAAAGAAAGCTCCAGAACTTTGATCTTTCCCAAATAAACCCTACACCAACTAAACACTAACTCTCCACTATGAATTTGATAACAGTAGGTCCATCATACAAGTGGAACCATATTTTATCCTCTGGTTAACAACACTTATGCCCATAAACATGCTTGTTCAGTTTCTCTGTATTTCAAAAGAAATTAGAAAACAAAAACTGGTAAAGGAAAAAAAAAGGATTTATTTTTTGAACAAGTCTGGGCATGGGTGTATCTAACTTTCCTCCTAACATGCCTGTCAGCAGCTTTTAGTTTGTAGAAAGCCAAGAGACTGAGATTACCACAGATGTAAATATATCTGTGAGACAGGTCTTTTCTTGGAGAGGAAGAGGACCTAGGCCCAGTTGTCTGTTGTCCTTTTCTTCTGTTACAGAAATATACTTTTATTCAGTTATAGGAAAGAAGCAGAAAAACATCTCCAGGATTGTTCCTAGGACCACCTCTATGCTAGGTCCAGGTCTGTTTTAGGTCCATCTCTCTCTGTGCTAGGTGAATCTGTCTCTGTGCTAGGTCCATCTATACTAGGCCCATCTCTGTTTGTGCTAGGTACATCTCTGTAATAGGCCCAGCTCTTTGTGTTAGGTCCATCTCTGGACTAGGTCTATCAACTCTGTGCAAGGTCCATCTCTCTGTACTAGGTACATATCTCTCTGTGCTAGGTCTAACTCTGTACTAGGATTAGCTCTCTGTGCTAGATCCATCTCTGAACTAAGTGTAGGGCAGTAATATACTGTACCTTTTCTTTGAAAGTCAGCTTCAAGCTGTGACTCTTGCATGCCTGTTAAAGGCATTCATTTTGCAAATGAAAAGCAGGTCTGATAGTGAATAGAGAGGCATAAGCGGTTCCCTTTACCTTATGCTTTCCAACATTGTGGCCTCAGCATGAACTCAGGGTTATACTTTCCTTCTGTTTTCCACTTATCTTAATGCCAGTGCATCTTGTAACAACACTTAAAAGCTAGTATTCCACTGTTTGGCTAGATTCTATTTTGTTTAAACACTCATCTCTCACTGAACACTGGTTTGCTCCTTTTGGCTTTTGTGAATGATGCTACTGTGAACATTGGTACATAGGCACATGGCTGAGTCCCTTCTCTCAGTTCTCTCTCTCTCTCTCTCTCTCTCTCTCTCTCTCTCTCTC